TCCAAACCTCATTTGGAATTGCATTTCCAGCCCTGTTAAATTGTCATCTGTGCTTTCCTGATACCAGCTCACTTAAAGACCATCTGCCTCAAGTTTTAGAAACAGCAGACCCAGTAATACCTGCAAAGAGCAACTCCCAGCAGTCCTATTTCTGTCACTAATTCCAGAGGAGTCACACACTGTCCATGCTGAACAGCCCTCCTTTCAGTTCATTTGGAAGGAAATGTAGGTTGGGACTGCAGGACTGTTTGAAACTGTTGCTTCCCAGGACTGCCTGCTAACTGTCCATGGAGCACACCACAAACAGAAGAGGCAGATGGGTTTGAAAAGTTTAGTCTGTAAACTTCCTGATAGGGGGAGGCACATTTTTTTTTGTTTTGAAACTTTTTTATTATTATTTTTCTTGTACTAGTAAAAATTAGCACTATTGCTGGAAAAAAAAAATTAAAAGCCCTACTAAAAAATGCAGGGTGAACCTTTTCTTTATATCTGGAAAAGAGAAGCAGTGACATATCCAGTGCAATCTTCGCTCGTAGTTTGTCCTTTCCTCTACAGCTAGACAATAACTGCTGCAGTCCACCTTTTTATGAATTGCATTTCTGGGTACCACTTGTATGGATGAGATGTAGCCAATCAAACAAGCTGCACAGTCATTTCACCACAGGAGCTACAAACTTGAGATGATGCCACGACCATCATCAGATTCTCCGTGAGACAACTGTCACAGTGCGCCGCCAGTCAGACAGCAGGCTTCCACAGCTTCATCTCCTCACTCAGCATTGACTGTGTCATGCTTCATTCCACTGCAGGTATGTGAACAGATCTTTCACGATGGCTCTGGTTATTTGCCACACAGGTCGGAACCAAAAAGTTTTCCCAGATTGTGTGCCTGTATTTATATATTAAATGAGACCAAAAAGATGCAGTTCAGGGAGTATTTCAGGTTACCATGAAGAGAAACCTGTGATTTGACTTACGCTTTGTGATGGCAGAGCTTAAAACCACGCATGTCTCAAAAATATCCCCCTTTGAAAAGTGTCCCTCTGAGTACTCTGGGAGTAGAACTGGCAGGTACCTAATGTGGTTTTGGAAATAAAACTACTTGCACTCATCCAACTGGTTCTGCATTTCAAATAAACATCTGTAAAATAACACTTAGAAAGCAACACCCCAGAGCAGCAATAGTCACCAGTTTTTCGTTTTACTTAAATTTCTATTATTTTTTTGAGTTTACTCAAAAAATGGAACTCTGGTCCAGTGGTTTGACAGAAGCTCCGTGTAGAAGTCCATCCTTCTATCACTCTGGTACCTCCACCAGTTCAGGATCTACCACAAAACCTGTGCATCACTGCACACATTTGTGTTTTCTTTCAGCTTCTGTGTCCGTTCCAGAGCCTCAAGTAAGAGCCTGAGGTACTGGGCTTTGTGTTTGTCTCCAGCTTGCTCCCAAACATTTGCAAATAGTTGGATACTTGAAAAATTATATAAATCTTTCTCAGGGAGGCAATGAAAGAAACCACCTCTTTCCTAGTGTGACAGCTTCCAAGAAAGCACTTCCAAACACAGGCACTGGTTTAAAATGACACGTTTCTGGCCTAAGCAGCCAGCCTAGCCAACTGGAGAACTTAATACACCTTGTATCACCTGATTAGGTGTGTCTTTAGCCTATACCCTTTTAATAGTGCCTGATGGAGAAGAACATACTAAGCCCTTAGACCAGTTTTTAATTTTCTTTCTTCCCTTTGGCTTCATCTGCAGCACCATTCACATTTATTCAAAAAAGACAAGTTATCAATCCTATACCATATCTCATATTGCTGTACCCGTTCCAGAGACAACAGGTACTTCCCAATGCAATGATCAAGCTGACAACTTGAACACTGCCTCAAAAGAGCATGCAGGAACCCCATGGATATGGCTACATGAAGACATCCTCTTTATTTTCCTAAGACTTGGGCATCTGACGAAAGACCGTCATGTCTACCAGCTCAATATGGCATGAGAAAGTGCTAATGATGTGTTGTGCGAATCCCAGAAGCAAAGAAATCATGCGGGAAGCTACAGAAAATTACTTAAATCTGGCACCTATGTAAAATAGCTGTTCTGGAAATCTCCAGGAAAGCACTGGGGTGCATCACCAGGAGCATGATCACATCTAGGACCAGCTGGTGGGATTTGGTTCTTAACAGTTTCAGTGCTCATAGAGAAACGCACGCTCAAGAACACACAGGTTTTCTGGCATCAGAGCCTTCCTCCCTTCCCCTAAGGCTCAGTGAAGGGACCGGGACCAACAGTAGTTGGTTGCTATCAAGGAACCAACTGGTTTCAATGTTTCTAGCAGGGGACATAACCCTTGTTACTCTCACCTCAGTCTGAAAAAAGTGCCTCATTTTTCATCTGAATGGAATGTGCAAACGCTTTACAGTCATTGCTGTTCCAAACTTTTTAACATCCCTTTTAACTGCTGATAGCAACACTGATACTGTTCCTGTAAAAAAGCTTCACCGATGCCAAATATACTTAGTATAAGTTCACCATTTCTACTACAGATTTCTTTTTGTACCTGTGAGTGGTACAATGGCCACACAGAACTGCGTTAGGAAGTCATGTTCAAGCAGTAACGTGTAACGATCCTCATACTCTTTCAGCAGCACTTCTCCTCCAAAACAGAGCCCTTCACCAGGGGCCTGAATGTTACCTGCGAGATGGGTAACGTTACACTGCACGCTTGGCTCTATTAAAAAGCAAATACTTCGCTTGCTCTTGGCTTACAAAGTAATTCTGATCAGGCTGTATCAGTGAGCCATTCCTTTCATAATTCAGAAGTACAATCTCCTTTCCATACTGATATAATTTGCAGCCTTTGTTAGAAGCAGATTTTGTTTCTTTTCAACCTATTAATAACGCCTAAGTAAAGCAAGGCCAAGAGCTGGTTGCTGGAAGATTCTGATGGAAATACACTCAATTAAGCACCAGTTAAAATTAAATTGAGACCTATAAGTTAGCCACATTTTAATCCATTTAATGTGTGCCATGTCGATTTTTGTATTGGTTCAGTTTTCAGTCAAAATAATGATGCAGTACCAGTCAAATGCCTTACACAGTCCAAGTATATATGACAACAATATTACCTGTGTCAACCAGGCCTGTCACTTCAAACAAACATACCAAGTTTAAAGATTTATACTTATCTGCTCTGAATTCACATATCCACGGCAAAAGTAACAAACACTGGCCAGGCTCCTTACACAGGAAGGCACACCATTCAGCTTAAATGGACTCTTTTTTTAATTCACTCATTTAGAGGCAATTGTCATTATTTTCTTGGGGGGCAGGGGAGGAAAACGCCAATGCACCACATTGTTTTCACTAGCCTGGAAGAGAAAACATATATATATAGATATATAGATATATAGATATGTATATATAGGCACACATATGCACGTGTGTCTATATATACGTGTGTGTGTATATATGTATATATACACCCTGGTGTATATATACACAGAATATACATATATGAATATACAGAATATATGCACACACACTTTGCTCAGATTTGTTTACAAAATATGTAGCATTTTTATACCATCCAATAAGAGGTACATGATTTTAAACAAATCTTATAGAAATGACATGTTATTGGAAATTTACACGTAAAAAAATCCAGCACAAAAAAATCCAAAAGCTAAAACAAGATTTTGCTACTAATCAGTGCTTCTATCACCCTTCAAGAAAAGAGAAACACAGTTATTTATATGTGATGTAAAGGCAACATTGAGGGGTTTTTTTTGCTTTTTTTTTTAAATTAACCACCAAATTTAACCCCCTAAAATTACAAAGAATCGAAGTCCATTTACAGATCAAGTGCAGTAAACTAAATGTTCCTTCAGCACAAAGCAGCACTAGAGAAAATAACTGGGAGAGGGAAGGTGGAGGCCAACTGGCTTAGCTACGGAGGCAGCAGGTGGCTTCTGCAGTGGCCACACAGGTCAGAGCCTCCATCCTGAAGCACAGGCAGAACTGAAGACTGTATTTAAATAATGGTCACACAGAGCTG